TCTCAGGCTGACCTGGTCAAAAAAAATTTTTTTCTTCATGTTTCATATTTTACTCATTGATTATGGCACACTTTCTTCCAGTTAGTCTGGTACATAGCCACCTTAGTCTGAATCGTTCATCAGGTATAAATGTATATAGATAGCCTACTTTATTTTTAATTTTTTTATGGTAGGAGACTCGGGTATAAATAATTTTAAATGTAATTTTTGGGATATTTCTGGTAAAAATGTATTAGTAATAGGCCTACAATAATAAGACAATGCATTAAAGTATAAGGGCATGTGTGTTTAGCTGGATCGAACAATTTAAAGGGATGCAGAATTAAGACAGTTAATTAAATGTAATATTCTGGACTAAATTTTTTGTTACATGACATTGGGCATTTATTTTAGTTAATTACTTGGCTTTCTTAACACCAAACAACACTCTCCCACAATTAGAGGCCAGGAGGTCTCTCATATTTGAAGCCTGGCTGATGCACTATGGATCAATTGTTGTAAGACACAAACCATTAAAAAATATAATCTGATAAAGACCACTGTGAACATGCAAAGTACAATAATTTATAATGTTTATTGTATGAAACCAGCACAAAAACGAGCGTACTTCACTGACACTCTGTAAAATGTTTTTTTTACTTGTGAGAAATCAAATTTACATTTCTACACAGCAGTATTTAATATATTAAACTGAGATTTTCAATGCAATGATATAAATATTTAACATTTTATAAAAATGGTTTATATAAGTCATAATATCTCTGATACACAGATTAATGATATTAGTTTTACTTGAGACACTGAAGCCTTCACTGTCACAGTTGAGAGGGAAGAACCGAGCCAGGAACGTCAGTTGCATTTCCCGGTCAAAGAGGTAAGAAGTAAGTAAGCTGAAGATACATCTAGGATGAAGATTTAGAGACAACTAATGTATTATCTGTTTTTACAAACATAGTTTTAGACGCACAGCTTTATGATGAAGTAATTAACTGCTAAAGGTTTGTAAATGCGTTTTAGTTTAAAGATGACACAAGTGTTAGCATGTCTTAGAATATTAGCTTAGCCAGCGCATGCTAATGTCAGCTAACAGTTAACTACAACAAAACATATTAACGTGTTTAAGACAAATGCCTGTAGTCTGGTGTTGAATATAATATATTTAAAATTGTAAGTATTATTGACCAAAATGAGTGAGTGGTTCTGTATCCAATCAAATTTATAAAATCATTGTACCTAAAAATTTCAAGGGGGACCATTTTAAGTAAGAGTGTGCATTAAATTTGTTCATGTTGAATTAGTTAATTTTAGTATGTATTCAAACGATCCTTAATCTCGCCAGTAATCAAAAAATCAGATACATTTTGCACAGTTTTAATAT